TACAGAAATCCTCTAAGTTTGTGAGGAAACAGAGACTCAAGAAGTGAAGAAATTTGCCTACATCAGGGGTTCTCAACTAGGGGTGATGTTGTCCCCTACCCCCAGAGTAGGGGACGTTTGACAATGTCTGGAGACAACTTTTGGTTGTCACAACTAGGGATGAGGAAGTATACTGCTGGCATCTGATGGGTAGAGGCCAGAGACGCTGCTAAACATCCTAGTACATAGGACAATTGCCTACAGCAGAGAATTATGTGGCCCAAAAGGTCAGTAATGCAGAAGTTGAAAACCCTGGGCTGCATCCACAAGTAGTTAAAAAGCAGTGGAGCAGGCGCGTGAACCTAGGTCTTTGGGTTCCAAATTCCGGTGCTTTTCTTCTGCATCAAACACCAAGAAAGGTAAGAGAGATACCCTGACCCAGGTCAGCGTGGTAGTCTGCTGTGGAGTTCAGAGCATGCAGGCATGAGAGACACAGAACCAGTAAACAGCGTGTTTCATCAGGTGAGAGGACAGAGCATAGTGTGCAGGTGCCGTGCTCTGGGCGGGCTTCCTGCTGGTGGTGGCTCCTGAGCCGGCTCTGACTGCACAGGCCTCACTGGGCAGAGTTTCCCGGCAGCAACACTGTAAAGCTCAGGGACACGGAAACATTGCCTTCCAAGCTCTGAGACAAAATAACTCTCAGCCTGAATTTCACACCAAATTGTCAATTAAGTGAATGGGAAGAATAAAGACTTTTTTTCAGACACATTGAATCTCAAAACATTTATCTCCCACGTTCCTTTTCCTAGGAAGCTCAGAGACTGTGCGCCATCCAAGTGAGGATGACGTGGGTTCCAGCAAAAATGATCAACTCTAGAAAAAGCAGCAAGTTATAAAAGAATGGAAGTGCAATTAGAGTACAATGACTGGCTCACTGATGCACATCATTTACATAATCACACTAATTATGGATCAGCTAAAAACTTGTGATATAACTAGATTCGGAGAATGTGGGAGAGCAAGGGACAATAGGCGATGTCTAAAACTGATTGATGTCTCCCACACACTCCTCTCAGGAAGACATTAGAGCTGTGCGATAAAACATGGTAGCCAACAGCCACAGGCGGCATTTACACTTTAATTAATTAAAGTTAAATGAAAAATTCACTTCCTCAGTTACACTAGCCACATTTTAAGTATTCAATAGCCATGCATTGCTACCCAGTTAGACAGGCATAGAACAGTTCACCAGTCCAGAAAGTTCTGTCAGAGAGCACTGTGCCGGACGATGTACGTCATCAAAAAGAGGGAGTAAATCAAGAAAGAGAAAGACATTGGAGTCCAGAAAACAGAAGATCAACATATATAAAAGTGGCAAGGGAGTCCCTAGCATACGAGTAAAGAGAGGTCCCCAGACAGCTGTCAGAAAGCCTGTCTCTAGATCAATCCAGCTAAAGATTTGTCTATTTTGTCACTTTTTCCATAGGACCCACTTTTAGTGTCACTGATTTTCTGTATGTTTTTTCTATTTCCTATTTCATTAATTTCTGCGTTCATTTTTATTATTTCCTTTCTCCTTCTTTGGATTTGGTCCCACATAGTGCAGGTACAGAAATCCACAGAGGAGCGGGGACAGGTGGGCCCTGAGGCAGGCTGCCACGCAGACGTGGGCTCCGGAGCTGCTTTCCTGTGGAGTCATGGCCCTCCCATGGGCTTTGGCCTGAACACGCAGGGGAGACAGTTCCCCGTGCCCTGGGAGAGACCCCAGACTCTCAGCAGTATTTGAACTTACACTGTTTAAAGTTTTTATGTGCATGCATTGCTTCTATTAAAAAATAACTACTAGCCCAGGCCGGGTGGCTCTCTTGGTTAGAGCATCATCCCACACGCCAAAAGGATGCAGGTTCAATTCCTGTTCAGGACACTTACGAGAGGCAACTGATCAATGTTTCTCTCTTGTATCAATGTTTCTCTCTCTCCCTTTCCCTCTCTCCCTCTCTCTCTCTCTCTCATCAATAAAAAACATATCCTTTGGGTGATGATTAGAAATAATAACTATTAAAAAGCAAAATATGTTTAATAAAAAAGATCAACAGTAACAAGCATTGGTAAGGCTCTAGAGAAACTCAAAACCTCATACACTGCTGATGGGAAAGTGAAATTGTGCGACCATCCTGGAATACAGTTTGGCAGTTCCTTAAAATGTTAAACACAGGTTTACCGTGGGACCCAGCAATTCTACTCCTAGGTATCTGTCCAGAAAAATTAAAACATGTCCACATAAAAACTGTACAGAAATGTTCACAGCGGTATTATTCATAAAAGCCCCAGACTAGAAACAACCCAAAATGACCATCGACTGAAGACTAGATAAACAAAATGTGCCGTATCCTAACAGAGCAGGACACTATCCTGTAATAAATGAGAAGAAAGTACTGATGTACACTACAGTGTAGATGAACCCGGAAAACACTGGGCTACGTGAAAAAAGCCAGACACGCAAGACCTCGTACAATGTATGATTCTGTTCATATGAAATGTCCAGCAAAGGAAAATTTATACAGACAGAAAGTAGACTAATGGTTGCCAGGAACTGGGAGTAGGAATGGGAAATGACAGCTAAACAATAGGAAATGTCTTACTGGGGTGATAGAAATGTTCTAAAGTTAGAACATGGTGATGGTTGCACAACTCTGTAAACACATTAGTAATCACTGAATTGTACACTTAAAATGGGTGAATTTTTTGGCATGCGAAGTTACACCTCAATAAAGTTCTTTTTTAAAAAGCAAATGATAGAGTCAATTTAAAAAAGAGAACTTGCAGTCTATGAGCTATATGCTTGAATGTTATTATTATAACAGCCCTGAAAGGTTGGTATAGCTATCCCGCTTTTGCAGGTATGCAAACTGATGTTCAAAGAAGTTATGCAACTTATACAATTAGCAAATATTGGAGAGTTAAAATGTGTGAGCATGTGCCCTCTGCAGAGAGTCCCTGTCCTTTCTCCCATTTGTGACCCCAGGCCTGAAGCACTGCAGGTAGACCACACAGGGGTCCGAGTTAAGGTTTCTTTCATCCTCAATTCCACATAACCTAGCAACCTAGTTACCACATTTGTTTAAAGTGCTGCTAGGCCAACAGGTGACCTTTGAGTAGCTCAGATTTTCTATCTCTCTAGAGACCACCATTGTCATATTGTGATTTATAAGAAGAAACGTATTTGCTCTTAGTCTCCGTTCCCAGTTTACAGCTCCCCAAATCCTTGGAATTTCTTAAGTGATAAGGGCAATGGGGGCATCTTTTATTATAATAGTTGGTCTATTGTCACGGTTCTTGAAACAGCTCCAGAGTCAAAAAGAAAAAAAAAAAGGTGAAAGGAATGTGTTATTCACAACAAACCCCTTTCAACCACACCTGAATTTATGAGAATGAGGTACCTTTTGGAAAGCCCATAAGGATGGGGGCCGGTTGTCAGGGAAACCAACCGTAATGAGAGGATTGATACTTTCCATTCCAGGGAGGGGGCAGAGGCTGGAGCCTGAATTATTCACCAATGGCCAATGATTTAGTAAAGCAGGTCTCTGTAAAAAACTCAAACGACAGGTTCAGAAAATGTCGGGGTTGGTGAACATGTGGAGGTGCTTGGAGTCAAAGGTCACCAAAGCTCTATGCCCTTTCCTCATACCTTGCCCTGTTTAACTCTTCCATCCTGCTATGCCTGAGTTAAATCCTTTTATAATAAACCAGTAATCTGCTAAGTAAAATATTTTCCCAAGTTCTGTGAGCTGCTCTAGCAAATTAATCTAATCCAAGGAGTGGTCACAGGAACCTCTGATTTGTAGCCAGTTGGTCAGAAGCAAAGGTGGCACACAGGCTTGGGACTGGCATATGAAGCGGGGAGGGCAGTCTCGCAGGACTGGGCCCCTAACCTGTGAGATCTGATGCTACCTCCTGGTAGACAGTGTCAGCCTTGGGTTATAACTGCTTGGAGGTGCTGGAAAAAGCAAACACTGGAAGCAGGAAATACAGAGACTACATATGAATAACCAAAAATGTGACCTGGCCAATATTAGGCACAGGAGGCCAGAAGTGAGCAGATGTTACTATCTGAAAATTAAACTTTGCCTCTCTCCACAGCTCTCTCAGGAGTGGTTTGGAGCGTGGGCTTTGGAGCCAGGCTCCGTGGGTACAAGTTGCAGCTCTGCCACTCGGCAGCTGAGGGATCCTGGGCAAGTTACTCAGAAAAACAAAACCCCTCTGTGCCTCAGTTTGCTTATCTCTAGCGTGGAGACGGAGAGAGAAGCTCCTGAGGAGGCTGGAAGCCTTAGAGCCATACTATGTGCTGGGGGAGCGCTCGCCATTAGCGTTATTCTGCCTATGCATTTAAACTTGTCACGTAACTCTGCAGAGTCTGCCTTTGCTCAGCTTTGCAGCAAAACTGCACTTTGGCCCATTCTGTCCCCATAACTACCATGGCGTTATCTGTTGGTGAAGGGTAAGCGATGTTCTCCAACAACACGTTTTCACGGACCCACAGGAAATTAAAACCAAAGAGGCTGTGGGGGTCATCTGGTCCAAGTCTGTCCTTGTGCAGGTGGGGATAATGAGGTTCCACAGAGCAGAGAGATGCCCTGTCGGACAGGCTGGTCCACCGCCCCGCCCCCCAGGCCTATCTAACGTGATTATTAAACAAATACTCTATCCAATAAGCTTTTGTGTCCCAACTTCTCCATAGTGCTCTCCTGTCCATTTAGCTAAAGAAGTAAGTGAGAAAAAGCTACATTGTGATTTTAAAAACTGTCAAATGCTAATTACAAGTTACTCCATTTGAAAGACTACAATGAAAGCATTTTTAATCCTTCTTTCTCTCCAAAGGTCCATCACTGGAAAAAAAAAAGCCAACTATTAAAAAGCAAAGAGCTGTGAGCTGTGAGCCCAACAGGGCAGTTCTGCAGACAATGGTTAAAAGGTAGGCTTTTCCCCAAGGATGGCTGAAGTGTATTTACCCCTCTTGTTACCTTGGTAACTGCTACCTTGGCGCCCTTGTTGATGAGCTGAACCACATTCTCCGCTTGGCCTTTGTACGCGGCTATGAGAAGGCGTTCTGAAAGCGCAGCGACCGCATCCTGCTGGCTCATGAATTAGGAGAGAAAGAGGTTTCCAGACAGAGGTAGGCACGTCCCTTCAGCTCCACACGATGCCACCGGCCCGGGCCGACACCCAGGGGGACAGATGCTCCCGATCATTGGAAGGCGCCCTTGTCACTAGGCCATCTTCGGGACCTATGGGTACAAAACAAAGCTGCCATCAGTGCCCCTCGGCACACAGGACAGACCACATGCCTTCTCTCTGCCTTTAGGGCCCAGTGCTGATGGCTCACGGCAGCAGGAAGGACACTCTGCTCAGCAAAGCCCCTGAACTTACCACTGGACGGCACCAGATGAGCCAGCCTCCCTCCGTTCTACCCCCTCAGGGGACTCAGGATTCTCCAGAGGACTATGGCTGGGACTTCGAGGTCTCCCCTGCATTCCTCTGAGGGTCAGCAGAAGCCTGAGAGAATCTCTTCCACATCACCTGGTCTCCAGAGCCACCTTGGGCAAGTAACTGTACTATGTATGATGACTACAGAGGACTTTCTGGGCCGGGTTCCATGGGCCCACCGCGGCCAACATGCTGAATCCCCCGGCAGGTTAGGTGTCCATGCAGCACGCCCCATGTGTACACCCTGAGGGGTGGGTTCTCTCCTTGGGATTTTCTCCCAGCACTTAGGCTGTTTTCTTCCTCCATCCTTTTCTCACTGCAAGTAGTGCAGTTTCCTGAGTTCTGGAACCGGTGGAGAGCTGGGCACAGGCCCGCCATCTCCCGGGCCCAACTGCGGCTGCGACAACCCACCTGGGGAACAACAGGGGTGCTAGACACACCGAGTGTGCACTGCCAACCCTGCTGGGAGGACAACAGCCAGTAGCTTCCTAGCCTAACAAGCAGGAAATAAATGGCCTACTAAAACCACCTACAGGGCACTCGAAGCAGAGGCCTAGAGGTACTAACTAGTGGTAAACGTACATGCTTTTTTCCACAAAATGGCCAAATGAATCGACGGTTAAAGACTGATTCCTCCCAGGAGTCCTGGGCCACCATTACACCGAACCAAAGCCAGAGGCAATTACTTCAAAGGTGAAGGTTCTTTGGGTACAAGAAGGAATGCTCCAGGATCTCATCGACAACACCGCAGTGAGGGCTTCTCTGAGTTTTAAAACATACGTATTAAAAATACCAATATAGGCAGAAGGAAAGAAAAGGCTGTACCAAAGGGACACCAGCCATTCTTCATCCCAGACCCTTCTTCCCGTTCTAAATTTGAAGGCCCAAAACATACACACATCGTTTACAGTTGCTTCCAGGCAAACCCAGTGCTCCTTTCGATCTCTCAAGATTCAGGAATTGGCCGTGACGTGACTGGGCAAGGCCCGGACTGTGCCAGGCTGCACCTCCCGGGCACCGTGGCATCCGGCAGGCCGGCTCACCAGCCGCCCTGGGAGGCCGCGGTTTAAGGCTCAGACACAACACAGACAGAACAGCAGGACTGGGAGGGGGGGGTTAGAGATGGTATCTTATTATGTGAATGTATTGGCCAGATGTGAATATTAGAACTTCAGAAAGAATTCTTATCTCTCCCCAACTTGTGAATTATCAAATTTCACCCTGTCATCCAAAATACCCAAAATGCAGCCAAAGAATTGCTAGGAAACAGAGAGACGGAAGCTTCGCAAACAATCCTGCTCTGGTCACCAGGCTCATTAGAATCACAAGGCACTTGGAGAAGGGCACACGCCAAAGCAGCCAACTCCTGCGTTAGCCAGGGTCACAGGGTCACTGATCCCTGGAATGTGTCAGAAATCTTTGTTGAATGAATGAGTCAATGAAAGAATAAAGTTGAGACTCGAAACAGAGAGCTAGAAAATACTCTGGAAATTCCCAGGTGCGAATGGAAAGACACCAGTTTGGACTTTGTGTTTGCCAGAGGAACTCACTGTTGGAAGTGCTTTGTTTCTGTAAACATAGGACACACTGTCTCTGTTTAGGGAAACTGCGGTACTTTCAAACTGATTATGCTGGACTTCTGCTTTGTTTGCCCCAACACTCAAAAAGCATTCTGGTCTAAATGGCAGAAAAATACAGAATTTTAGCTGTGGCCTCTTGAATGATCTCCCTCCCACAACATTCTTTTCCATCTACTCAATTATTTCTGTGCACTGGACCTAAACGGCCACACTCCCACTCCCAAACCTTTCCTGCAATGGGCATGTAAGTGTCTCAAGGACAACGGCCTAGTTCATACAAATATTGTGATCATGGCTAAAATCTTACTGATTCCTCTCCATAGCTTAGCTCCTGGGGAGGGAGATCTTGCTGCAACCTCACTGCACGCCATCAGCTAAGGTCACGAGCTTCAGACCAGAAGTGCTGTCTGGTTTCCCCAGCAACAGATGCACCAGATCAACAGGACTATGGTATACCACCAGCCACTCCCCTGCCACCCCCTGTCCCATGCAATAAATTCAGCCTCTCAGACACTGAGATGAAAGCACAGCTACACTTTCTGCCATGGTTGCCAGCTACTGAGATAGACTTGCTTACATAATTACCTTTGTTAAACAGCCCTTTGCAAATCCAGCACATATAACAATTGTTTTTTGAGACAGAAAAATACTACGGTTGTGAGGCAATGTTGGCCAAGCAGAAATGTCATGTTTTTCTGCTTTTCAGTGACAGCTACTGAAAAACGAAATGTCCCCGACTCCTCATCCCAGCCTACCCCACCCCCTCCTCCAGCTAGGCTCAGCCAGGCTCACCTGCGGCACAGGGTAGCCTCCAGGATAGGCCACTATTTTGGATACATGCCCTCCCACCCCCCAACCCCTGCCAGTCGCACAAAAAACTGCCTGCAAAATCTAGAACAGAATCCCAGGTTTTCAGTTCCTAGTCTGTTGGTAGCATCATCCCTGTGTACTTAGGCATCTCAACTTCATTCTCAAATTAAATCCAATAACAAACACACAGCCTTGTTACTAGGGCCCCAGCATTCACTTGCACTTGCATTTACAGGGTGGGTGGGGAAAAAATGGAAGTGGCTGAGTCTTCTTTTCTGCTTCCTTTCTGTTCCCTCCTCTGCCCCCAGCCTTGGGGAGGGGTGCAGGCCCAGCTCACCTTCCTCCCCACTTCTCTCATGATCGCTGCCCTAGTAGAACAGTGATCCTCATCCTTTGGAGGGAGGGGCTGCCCCACTTGTCATCTGACACCTGCCAGGCAGAGAGGCAGGCTGGGGGAGAGGGATAAGGAGGAAGGAGGGACCCCCAACAAGGAGTGGGGAGAGGAGAGGAAGCATGGAGTGACGACCAGCCTACAATCAATGAGTTAAACTTCCCAGCCAACCTGTTGGGTACCCAGGCTGTAGCAACCCTGTTCCCTCATTTAATCTGAGCCTCCTCTTCCAAGTGAATCAGCTATCATTCAAGACACTTCTCACTGCTGCCGGTGAGGAATTTCTTCTGCCCCAAGTCTATCAATCACATTCCTCTTTGTCACGATGCTCACTTTCACAGTGTCCTGGAGAAAAACCTTAAATGCAAACATGCTGCCAGATCTTTAAGCAGAAGGGAAATAAATGCATGATCATACATATGCAATGAGTATCCCGAATCTAGAAAGGGATTTCGCTTTCAATACAGATTTCCCTCCTTCCTTCTCAGACCACTGCCCCATTTTCACGGCTCTCCAATTTGCTGATTCTTTTGTCTCCCATAACAAACGCCAGAAGGCCACGCAGCTGTTTGGTCTGTGATGCGATCGGTTTTCTTTTTATAGCAAAAGGTCTATGAGGTTTGTTTTTGCTGTCTTCTTGAGGACTTATAACAAAGTCTCCTGTCCCCAATATCCCAAAGCTACTACATTCAGGCAAAATCTTCTAGAAGAGACCTGCAAACAAAAGTCCCAGCCAGGCATTATGCACAACCTCCCCAGAGACGATCCACAGGCACCCAGGCACGCCATCAGTTACAATAACTCACTTTGCTCCTACTGCTCCAAACCCTGCATTAAAGAGAGATCATACTCACATCCGGGGGTCTGTCCTCCCCATTCTACATCGTGCTCTGTTGCTGGATAACTGCAGTCAGTTCCTTCCTGAAGAGATCACTAGCTTCCCAGGCTGTCACGCCCAGTGGGCCTGCAGTGATTTACCTTACAATGCCTGCTGCCTTTTTCCCCTTGAGCTTCCTCTGCCAACACTGGCCAAATCACATCTAAAAGCCTATTAAGACATCCATTCAGCCCGTCCTAGTCTGCTCGTCACAGCTTCTGACAGGTTTTGGGTCTTTAGATTTTGTTGGAGAGCTCCCCCCTGCCGGCAGAGGACCTGTAACACTGCCCTGCTGGAAGAGTCGGGGAATAATTCACAGATGGGTGGTGCTCAGACGAACGGCATTTGCATTCTTTCAGTAGTAATGCCAGCAGAAGAGATGACTGTGCCCTTGTAAGGGAGGAGGCAGTAAGGCTAAAATCTGTAATGGGACCAGGAAAGCTCTCACGTGTGGGAACAGAAGAGACCCGGACACCAGAGCCGCCTCGGCAGAGCTCCCGCACGGTGACTGCGGCAGCACAGGAGGCGAGCAGACACTGAGCTGCCGTTCCTGACGTTTGTAAACCCATGGTTTGTCTGACAAATTCTCCCGTGAACAGAGTCTCTGAAGAGAAGGAGGAAGGGAGAAAAAAGGGCAAATCTGTATCAAGTGCAGCCAATGACCCGAAGCATCGCAGGTGTGCTCTCCAGCCCACTTGTTGAAACAACAGAAAACCCACTTCCCAACGGGGGCAACTGCAGGAAGGAAGAGGGTTTCCGGTTTGACTTAAACCAACATCGCCACCATGTCTGCATTCCTAAAGGCAGAATTCTTGGACCTGGAGCTGGAAAGTAACTCTGTCAACAGATACGCGCTGAGCCCTCTCTCTGCCCAAAGCCTTGCCCCCATTTTGCTGAGGTGGTCACTCCTGTGGGCGATGGGCTGGGCCTCTGCTCTGGCCATTATTTGGCTTATTCCAAGGGCCAGGCACGGGCCAGGGACTCAGGCCAGTGTGCTGCAGAGACACCGAATTCCCCTGGGGAGACAAAGCGCCAGCGGAATGATAAGCTTATTTTTAGCACACAACACTTGTACTAGTATATCCCAAAGTGACCACTCCTGGGACACTCTGATCGCCGCTGCAGGACACGTCGGGTGAGGAG